GAAGAGATAATGGTCCAATATATTATCATCTAAGCAATAATAGTTCAAGTCTCGCAGTTCAGATATATACTGAGTTGTATGCTGGGCTGATGAGAATTAAAGCTTCATATATAGTAATAAAACTAGTGATCTAGAGATGAATAGATTGGTGTATGGAGCCCAATATTTTCCTGCCACAGATTAGAGCTGGGATACTAATCCATAAAAGGGGAAATATACCATTAAATCTCTCTTTTCACGTGCTGTGCATGGAGAGCTATAATATGTACAGTTTTACAGGCAAATGCATGAAAAGAGTAAAGACATTTCCTAACATCAAAAGATTCCCGACTTAGGTAAAGATTTGTTTTACCTTAAAAGAAAACTGAACTAAAATTAAGCTAAAATTCCTATATGTGACAACTCATGCCAGATTGTATCAATGCAGATTTCAGTGGCATTTCCCCTGTTCCTATAGATTTGCCTTTTATTTTGCTTTTAAAAAATATAGTTGTCAGATACTACAGAAGGCAAATAAAAGTGTATCTGAATGTGGGCCAGTAACTAAAAGTAAAATTCCAAATTATGTTTATAGATTAAAGTGGCTTTTAAAAATTTATTTTCTTAATATGAATGAATTGCATGACTGGAACCAGTTTAGCAGTAACATTAATCAGGTCTTTTGTCTTGCTAATATAAATCAGTCAATAACAACAGATGGGCTGTACACTTTATTATATGAAAATAAAGATGAATGTGACATACTGCAGAAGTAAACTTGCAGCTCAAAGTTACTGAGCACAGAAGGGGATTTGTTACAACAGGGGAGAACAATGTGTGTCTTGTGTTTGTGTTTGATCAAAGTCGTGAGGGGAACTTGCTGCACATGACATTGGCATAATGATTAGAAATCAAGTACATGAATTTTTAGTGTTTGTATCTACACTTCCAGATCATTCCCAAATGGTTTAATTAGCTTTTTTTTCCTCCAGACAAAAGAAAAAAATGTCTAGCTACTTAGGAGAGTTAAATAAGAGAGTTATAAAGTTTGCTGCTTTGTTGCACCACTGGGAGATGAGCATTTTAAATAACCAGCGATAACCATCAGGAAGATGCAGATCAAAGTCTCAGGCAAGATTTATCCTCTCATGCGGCAATGGAGCACACCATGAGAAGCAATCCCCATCCAAATTATAGAAATTGGCTCAACAGGCCACACAGTGATAACAAAATCATCCCTGAAAAATCTAAGTCAGAGTTTGATTTTTGTATGGAGAGAGGAATGACCTGTGTTTAAGTAGAGATGGTCAGGAGAAACTGATGGAAGTGTTTATTCATTTGTTAGAAACTCTGTCCTCATGAAAACACAGATTCATTAGATTGCTCTGGTGCCACCAGGTCTTTTTTCTCTAGAGAACTCCAAAAAATCCCAACACAGTCAATTGTCCTATATTGACATTTTCTGTGCTGGATTTTTAGGAATATTTTGCTATATAATTACACTACTATTATAATTATGCTTGCATGTTGCTCCAAGAGTTACAATGAAAGCACGACAGCATACGGCTATAGTTCAAAAAATGAAATACAAGACTTGGCTCCAAGATGGGTGTTAAGGTTGATGGTTCAAAACCCTGTCCCAGATCAGCAGCTCAATTTGCTGACTGTCCTAAGCTGTGACACTGCTGTGCCTGGTGTGATGTGCAAGCCATCATGAGGGGACTTAAGGTACTTCTTCCTCAAAAGATTCTCATCCCGAGAAGCAAGTGTCACAGCCTGGCACAGGGGAACTGGGGCTGCACACCCTCTCTAGCTGTAAACCAGCATCCTGCCACTTCAGCTGGTGTGCCTGGATGAGAGGGGAGGGGTCCTTTGCCTCCCTGCAGCAATTGATCCTATCTCTTTCGGGGATGCAGGAAACTCCAAGTGGCTTCCCACTGTTGTTCACACAGGGGGATTAGACCACCTGTTGCCTTTCAGCAGTGGAAAGCAGGAGCAAAGGTCCCTCAGTGCCAATGGAGGTAGCCTAGCTTTGCAGTGGGATTGCTGTGTTTTCTGCCAAATGCAGTCATGGTAATATTCTATATGTTCCTCTTGAGAAACTGCTCTATAAAAAAAACACCATTGTTGCTATTAACAGCAACAGGATTGAATGAACATTCTCAAGTTTAAAAAGCAAAAAAAAAAAAAAAAAACCAAAAAAACAAAAAACAAACTCTTAGCTACTATCTTAATTTTTTTCGGAAAGTGACGGTTTTAAATGCCAGTTTCCAGGGATGTGGCAGCCTTTGAGCGCTATTTGTGTGACAGTTTGTGAATGGCTTCCATCTATATCCCTAACATTTAAGAGTGGTTCAGATGCCTCTTGATAGAAATGAGAGAGTGTGGAAAAATAAAGCTGAGCTTTATTGTTGTTCAAGAAGATTTAGGAGGAATCACAGCAAGGATGCAGTAAGAAAACAAACAGGCTTGTATCTGACTCTGGGATGCCAGGTTGGTGGAGAGAAGCAGCTATCACCACAATCAAAATGTGAGACTAGATTGTAATGTACTAAGCAGTACTTTGAATACATACAAATAATACCTTAACTTTGTAAGCAGTTACCTTCAGGAGGAAAAGCCAAAACCCACACCCATTTTCCAGACTAATTAAAAAATAATTTTGAAAACATCTTTTTTTTTTTCCTTTTTGCAGCTTGCTTATCCCTCCTTTTAGACTTCCTAGATATCTTTCATAAAGTGCAGTTAATTGGTCAGGCATTGTAATTATTGCCTTTGATAATGCACAGAAATGTAGTGGCGAAAATAAATACATTTGTTCTTCCAGTCACCAGAAATTAGTGAAGCAATACTTGTTTAATTATAAAACATATGTGTGCTTTGTTAGTTTCCATCTGTCTGCTTGCTGATTTGCAATTAAATGACCAGAAGAAAAAGATACGTCCTGTGGCAATTCAAGGGAAATGATTCATCTCTAATGTTTCTGCGTTGTGGATGTCTATGGAGCAGCATGTGGGAGAGGGGAAGAGGGGAGGTATGCATGTATGGGGATGAGGAATGCCAAAAAGCCTCTTGATTCAGTTCAGACATGTTTCATTGTCATGAAACCAAATGAGGACTCCCATTAAGTTACTGCAACTCGTCTTTCTTTTAGTAAAAAAATGGGGAGTAAAATGGATCAAGTAAGAAATACCTAATGAGGAGAGGAAATAGGATTGCAGAGGAAGGAGGCTGGTGTGGTCAGAGTGAAAAGGAAGCTGCAGAAATAAGAGAAGCATGGGAAAGTGATAAAAAAATAAATTTTATTTGAGTATCTGGAAATTATTAACTGGAGATGGAAATGGAAGTGTTATAGTGTGTCACAGATTTTCCTTTTACTAGAAGAATGTTAGGCCTTATTTATTGGCCCTTTTTTCTATCTTTGAACCAGTTCACTTTTATTAACTCTCAGGGAGTGATGCAGTAGTGAGTCAGGCTTAATATTCCTTATAAAATGAGACACCAAGAAGGACAGGAGTATTTTTAGATTAATATGAAGGGGGTGTAGGAAATAATAAAAAAAAAAGGTGACTATATGTTCTCTTCAAAAACAGTTTAGGAGGTTCACAAAATGGTTTGCTCTGTAAGGTGTTCCCATAACTGATAAAGACGTGCAGTTTACCTTCATACAGCTGCATGCGTGGGTACCATATTACATTCTTTCCCTCTCTCCTTCATCTGTCCCTGTTCCTTCTCATCCTTCTGGAAAGCAGTATCTGCAAAGAGAATCGTGCCACTTGTAATTGTGGACACAGCTTGCACAGGGAGGTCTCAGGTTTGGGGAGGGAGCTGTCTGACATTTCATCTTCATGAAGACTGGCAGGGAGGAGACAGCCAGCCAGGGTTTTCTGTTGGATGTTCTGTGGTGTTTTATTGATCCACATCAGCATCCGTCACGAGGTATAATGATAACTGTGCCAGAGGCAGAGAGACTGAGTGAGGCCTTCAGAGCAGCCAGCTCGCCACTGGTGGGTCTGGCAGGAGTTGGTGCCCCCCACCGCTTTGCTGCTTGGAGCCTCTTGGATGTTCCTGTGCTCTGATGGAGGTGGGGAGGAAGATGGGGAGAGGGTTATTCTCCACTGAATTTGGTGCTTTCTGATGTGGGAGACTTCCTCTGCACAAAGGGGCAGAGGGGCCGTAAAAGAGGATTTGTTAAGAGGGAGGGAGAAAGGGAAGTATGCACATTTGGTGTTTTCAGTCCTGCCTCCTGTGCAATGGATTCTTTTCCTCCTCCTTTCATTGACTTGATCCTTTACCAGCAGCACCAGAGAGGTGCTGAGGTTTTTTATGTCAATAGCATGCACCCATATTTGCCCAAAATGGCACAATTTCACAGGTTCCCTGCCCCATGCCGCAGCTCCCACGTTCTCTCCATAGCAGGGACTGCACAGACCAAGGTACTACTGGCAGAATAAATAAAGCATAGCTTGGCACCTTCATTAGCAGTCTTAGCAGTAGAATCAGAGTACAAACAAAGAGATACAGACTGGATTTGGATTTAGACCTTTGTCTTCAGCAGATTTCCAATTGCTCATCTGAAAAAAAAGGTACTGTTTCCTATTTGGACCAGACTCAGCTGGCAGTAGCTGTTTTACACACCTGATTATGCAGTGCGATAAGTCACTATTGAAAATGTGACCTTGAAGCCTTTGAAAGTTTCTATTATTTCTCTTTATGGTTTTGCAGGCAACTCTACCAAGCACTAACACAAAGCTTTACTGCTGGTATTGCCAATGATGGTAACAAAGGACTGATCCCAGACTGTGAATGTGCAAATCCCTGTCACATCACAGAGAGGAAAGAATGCTCAGGATGTAAAGAACAGTTTCTTCCAGTCTGGAAACAGCAGTGCATCTAAGCCTCAGTTTAGGAATGCTCCTAAGATAACATTTTATCCAAAAAGTATGAACCTTTTTAATTTTCATGAAGTTTTTGCAAGTGTCCATCAGCTGAATTTTGGTTCTTTCATTTTTCCTTTACAGATGATGACTTTTTCCATGAGCTTCCAGAAACTTTTCCATCTGATCCTCCAGAGCCATTGCCCCACTTCCTCATTGAACCCGAAGAGGCTTACATTGTGAAGAACAAGCCTGTGAATCTGTACTGCAAAGCAAGCCCAGCCACACAAATCTATTTTAAGTGCAACAGCGAGTGGGTTCATCAGAAGGACCATGTGGTGGACGAGAGAGTAGATGAAACCTCTGGTGAGTTTGGGTTATGTTGTGAAGGGATGAGATTGAACACCATTAATATCAAGCCCACTCTTCTAATCTAGCAGCCATTTCATATGACAGCTGCTTTTCTTTACTCCTGTTACACCTGGGAATTCCATATCTGGCATTACAGAAAGGTCCTGTCATAGCACAGGGGTGATGCCTGCATCCAAATCAGCTAGTGGAACAGGAGTGTAGAGCACCCTGACCAAATCTGAAACTGGAAAACCAGGAGAACCAGGCACAAACAAAATGAAATTCCTTTCTTCAGACAGGTCTATTCCCAGTTCACTTCCCCAGTGTCACAAATTCACAGTGGTTGCACTGTGATATTGTCACAGACTGAGTACCACATTCTCCCCAAAGCATCAAGGAGCAATTGGGTTGTTACTAGAATGATGTTCTCTTGGGGAGATGTGAGGAAAAAAAGGAGAAATTTAATCAGTTTTCAGCAAGAAAGAAGGAGAAAGCACACCTGGGCACACTTTAGAGCACTATTGATCCAGAGCAAGCACCTTGCTGTTATTCATTGCACTACTCTGCTGGCTCCACAGGGCCTGTAAGAAGGAGAGCTACAGTATCTTAGCATCCTTTCTCAGTCAATACCAGAATTCCCATTGACATTCATGGAAGTTAGACAGGATCCTCACAGCACCAGGAAAAAAAAAAAAATAAAAAAAAGGAGAGGGGGAGGGTTAAAAACTTGAGTAATAATAAAGCAGTGTTTGGGAAGACTGGTGATCAATAGAGTGTGAGACACAGGCAAGGAGAGAAGCAGGACTTACTGCTGTTTTGATGGCTCTGAGAAATAACGATACCAAGCGAGAAGGTACTTTCCATTTGGGAATTGCACCACCACTTGGTCTAATTGCTTAGAAAAATAACTCCACCAGATGTCTTGGAAGTCTCTTGCGAACCAGGTTTTATTTGTTTCAGCTCATTTATTTGCACAGAGATCAAAAGCATAAGCTTTTCTTGGTACTCTCACTTGAAAAAGAGAAGGTTGGTGTAGGAAGAAAGGCTATAAAAAAAAGTCTATATTAGACCTGGGGCCTGTGTATTCATTTGTAAAAATTGGTTTTTCCACAAGTTGACTACAGGAGAAACACTTGAAACAAAAAAGAAATCATGTTGCTGAATACATCTTCAGGGTTTTTCATTCCATGAGAGCCCAAGAGAATGAAGATAGGCAAACAGAACAACAGCTATGACTAGGTTAATTTTTTTAAGTTTTCATGAACATCACTGTTTAGAAAGAAACATGAACATTTTTTACTACAGGTGAAATATTCATCTCTTTTTCTCAAAAATCTCATTGTGGGAAAACTTGGTGATGCTATAAAGGAAATTGCATTCTACAAGTGTAAAAGTCAAGTCTTTAAAAGAGAAGCATCAAAATATTTTGGAGGACAAATATTTTTCATAATAAACAGCAATTATAAGCAAATGAGAACCATTATCAATTAAAGATTAATATAATCTACTGGAGTTAGGTGGGGAAAGATGTCAAAAACTGTGCACATCAGATTATTAGCAGAAGAGCCACAAGCTTAGTCACACTAATAGCTTTTTAAAATGAAACTGTCATCAAAATCCAGATCTGTTAGTCAGCCTGGTTGTTGCCAGAATATTGGTTAATGCATGTCACAGCAGCAGTGTTTGTGCACATTCCTGTAGGCAGATTCAGAATCTAGGGCTCATAGTACATAAGTGGTATAGAAATGGGTAAAGAATTTGATTAAAGTTGTGGTAAAATAGTATTTTCTTTAAAGCAATGGAAGCTCAGGAAAATATATTCCCTGCCGATTAAGCTGCAAAAAAAAATTTGCAGGAGATGGTGAGGGCTCATTCCGGCACCCAAAGAAGGAGATGTCAGCTTGGCAGCTTGCACCCGTCAGGCTGGCAAAGCCCTTGGACTCTATCACTTCTGAGGCTATTTTGGTTTCTTTTGCTATTTTTAACTAGCTAGTGCAGTTGTAACCTAGGGCACAGAAGTAATGACTGAGCTGCTCAGAGGGTGACGTGAGGATCCCTCTAGGTCCAAACCTAGGCTGCTGCTGCTTCTGCCTCCTGGCTTGTGGTTAGACAGTCAGGAGAAACTGCCCACACACCAGATGAGGTCCAGACTTGCCATGGGTGAGCTGGGGCTTTAAGGGACCTCACTTACACAGTGTTTCTACAGGGTCAGTCATGTAATCCCAGCAATTGAAAACTGGGTGCTTTCTTCTTTCCTGGTATTTTACTCTTCCTGGGTCTGCTCTGCCAGCTTATGAAAAGAGGACTGTGCTGAGGAGATATTCTGCTGCTGGGTTTGAGCTAGACTTTCAATTCTTTACACAGTCAAGCAAAGCAAAGAAAAACAAGGCAAACGGACAATAAAATATGAGGGGAAAAGAGTAAAGGTCACTTGTGCTTTCTTTTCTAAAGGATGAGTAATCAGGAAGAAAGTGAACTAAAATACAGGTGTGATGCTAGCAGTACATCACCTTGGGATTGTAAATGATGCATGAAAGAGAGAAATGGGTTCTGATTTGCAAAAGATTATGTGTTCATGGACTTTGAGCCTGTGCCCAGGAATGAAATCTATGTAGAGATTATTAACTCTTCCTATAAGGCAAATTTGTTTTTGTCATTGAGAAGACCAGAAAAAACAGCACTACAATAGCAATGGCACACAAGATGGAATTAGAATGCAGCCAAGCTCTCATTGAAGAGACCTGCTAGATAAAAATGTTATATGCATTAAAAAGGTTAATTTTTAAGTGAGGAAAGTAAATATTCACATAATTTTTCTCTGATTTTTTTTTTCTTTGTGAAAGAGAGAAAGAACAAAACAGGTGTAATAGTTATATATACTTTGCACTGTGGGGTATTTTTAAACAGTGTGTAAAGCATTGCTGTAAAGAGCATGCTTGGGGACGCTGTGAGAGGTGTTGCCGTCTGGTTGGAGAGGATGTGAACCATAATAGTGGCAGGGTGTTCTAGTACCACTTTATTTAATTAAATTAGCCTGAAGAGAGAGCCTTGCAAAATATTTTATATTGATAGAGTCTGAGAAACCTGCAGCTTTACACAGAAGATCATTACATTCTGTTTTTAAATCCTCAGAATCACTGGAATTTTTCTTCTTTATGGAAAAAGCTTATCATTTTCATAAAGAAATCAAATGGGTGCTTTGGAAATGTCTAGTGCACATCTTTGACTCTTTCATTTCCTATGTATATGAAATACAAGACAGGGCATTGTCTTTTTTATGCCTTTATGTCTCTGGAATATTTTCCCATTAATGCAGGGAAAAAAAAAAAAGAATAGGGGTTTTAAAAAACAAAGATGAGAGTTCTTTTGAGGGAACACATTTAATTTTAAGGCTAACTGTCACAAAAGATAACAGCAACAAAAATAAAAGAAGCTCTGTAGAACTGATGCTTTTGGAGGCAAGAAAATTCCATTGTTACAGGGCAGGAAGTTCAATAGTATCAATAATTGTTAGAGCAGTTTGTGCACATTTTACAAAGTACCTCTGAAAATAAATATGGAAAAGATTTTTTTGCAATAAGGATGGAAAAACACTGAACCAGGTTGTTCAGAGAGGTGATGGGTGCCTCATCCCTGGAAACATTCATGGCCAGACTGGATGGGGCTCTGAGCAACCTGATTCAATTGAACATGTCCCTGCTTGCTGTAGGGCATTTGAATAGATGACCTTTAACCTCCCTTTGAACCTACACTATTCTGTGATTCTGTGATTTTTATTTTGCATGTGTGCTTTTATGGAGAAATATTTTACAAGACACACAGACCAGTTCTGCAGTGGTGGGAGAATTGTGAACATATAGAAAATCTGCGTCTTGCACCCCTTTCATTTGTCCAGAGGGATTAAATGTTGCTATATCCAACCCTACATCCTAGCGATGTACAAGAGAAAAGCAGAAAAAAATCTGGAGCTTTTTTTAGTCTTTCTAGTTTGGATATGCATTGTAATATTTTCTCTGTGACTATTAAGGTGAAATGGTCTATAAACCCCCTCTTGCCCTCTGCAATGCCAGGGACATTTTCTTCTCTCTCCTTCAAACAAGGAGAAAACATTTGTGATTCTTTAAGTGCTAATTAAATAGACATATTGGGCAATTCACCCAGCATTATTGTTTGTCTACACTGTCTGTCTTCTTTTGCTGGGATGCATAGGGAGAGGAAGTCTTGGAGAGTTTGCTGATGACCCCCTGCTTTTGTCTGATTAAGAGAGTTTATCAAACTGCACTTGGAGTGGACAAATATGCACTTCTTTTCAGAGAGAAACCTGACTTCTTTTTTTTCAGTTTCTTTACATAGCCACCCTTGAAATGCCAACACTTACCTCCCACCATTACCTTTCCCAATTAATAAAGTATTTTTGGATAACCTGCAAATTCAATGAAAGGAGACTGAGCTTTTGACGTAGGGTCAGCATTGATCTGGCAAATAGGAGTTTGTTAACTTAAGAAAAGGGTTTGGCAGCCTGTTGAGGGAGTAGATACCCAGCTAGCCAAGTCTTTAATAGATCACCCTCTCAACAGAAAGATCAAGGATTGACATCTGCCCTTTTGCCTTTAAAACAGCTCTTACAAGATCCTGCAGCCAAGACAGCAGTGGGGAAGCCTTCATAGTCACTATGTTCTTCTGGTACCATGTAGAGAGGCAGGAAAATCACTTCCAGCACAAAATGCTCTGTTGCTTTATCTTCCTCTCTGTGTGTGCATCTCATGAAAGCCATTTATTTTAGTGTTTGTCACACCACATATTAGAAGGCTGCATTGCCCTAATGGCAAAAGTAATTCTTTAAGCTGGGACTTCTGATTATACAGCAAAGGTCATCATACAGCCTCTCATTTTGAGAAGTTGCATTCATTTGTCTTAGTATTTTTTTATTTTAAAAAAAGCCATTATTTTTTAGTATTACATGTCTTTGAATAACAGTGTTGAAGAACTTAATTTGGTAGCCCAAATACAAAATT